AGATATGAACTGTTTTACGATTTAATGCATCTAAACCATTAATTTATTTTTTTATATATTGTGCTATTCGCTATGATTTTAATTATAATTGAAGAGGAAAGAAGCAAAAGGGTACGAGTGCATTTTAGCATGAAAATAAGTTAAGTGCAGGATTGAGTCCTTTTTTTAAATTTTCTCATTGCGTAAAATTGTTTTCCATGTTGATTAATGCAAACAACAATATTAAAACAAGTATTCAGATTTTTTTATATACCAAAAACTTTACAAGTTCCTACCCCTTTAATTATAGGAACATTAAAAATATTATATTTAATTTAATTATAATATCTCAAATATTATTTAAATAAAAGGCTTATATCCTTAAATTCTGAATTTGTCTTAAAATTGTTTACATATATCTACATTTAAATAAGGATTTAAAGAAAAACTGTTTCTTAACAAATATTTAAAAAATACGCTTCATCCATATTCTCAGCAAATAATTTTTAAAATTTATGTCATAATTTATAATATGCATGAATGAATCCTCTAAATTAAGGGATTAAAACACTTGAGGCCATCCTTTACATAAAATTTATTATGCCTTTGTTTTTATAATATATTTATTTATAATATTTATGACGCAGATATTTCATCGTTTTTGTGCAAAACATTTTCTACTTCATTTATCTTTTTTGTAATAAGTTTTTATAATAAAAGTAGGGTTTCAGAGAGCTAATAGACGAAAAGTACATATGTTTTAAAACAGTAGGTAAGTTTCACAAAAGCCTTTTAAATAAAATATTTAATAATGCTTGCGTCTGTACTTTTAGCAAGGGTTAATTGTGTGAGCAAACATGTTTACAGTATTTATGTATCTTAAGTTTTCCTGGATTATATCCCTCTTGGGTGTTGTAATGCTTGTTGTTAGGCATGTTTTCTAATATCGTATTCCCAAGTAAATTAATAATGGAACATAATATGTTATATCCCCAGGGATTTTAATATTTACTGTAAATGATTTAATAAATGTATATTATTAAATCGTTTAGGTAATATTAGCGTTACTATGAAATAAACATATTTTGTTGTATATTTATACTGAAAACACTGGTCGACAACAATTTTGCCGCATGGTGGCCAACATTTTTCTAGGGTAATTTGGGTGCGCTGATTTCAAAAATGACCATTACTTTGCTTAATTATTTTCAAGACTTTGTGAAAATAAATTCGTATATATATATTCTGTGGGTCCTAATAAAAGTAAAAAAAAACTAACTTCAGCCCGTGACTAAAACGTCATGAAGCCACAAGTTTTCAATGTGTATTTAAATGGTAACTAGTGTAATGGAAACCTGTACGATAATGGGCGTTTTAATGGAGGGAGAAGAAAAAATTGATTAAGATTTTTCTTAAATAAAATTAAGATTATTTTTTGTTAATTAACCAACAAATTAGAAAAATTTGAGATATTTTTATTTTAATATAAAAAGTATCTCTATTTTCTAATTTGTTGGTTGCTTTCTGCAGAACTACTTTTAAAATGAGATTAAAATATCAAAATTTGTCTAAAAAAAAGTCAAACTTTTAGAATTGTTTAAAATCAACCAATTAAAAAAAAATAATAAAAATAACTCACATTTATAAGAACTATCTACTCTCTTAAAATTAATTAGTCAAAAATAACTAATTATAAGTCATATTTGACTAATTCTCATAGCGAAAAAGCCACTAATAATTAGTCAAATTGTACTGAATGAAATAGTCAAATTAGTAGATTTAAATTTAAAAAAAGTTTTGACCTAGCCGGGAATGGAACTTGTCAAGCTTGTCAAGCTCTGCCTTATTTTGGCAAAACCTAGTAATGATTTTGTAACTTTTCACTGAAAAGTTTTCAGGACAGCGTATTTTCTAAAATTGCATAGCCTTTCTTTGCAACAAAATATTTAAAATATCTAAGAATCAATTCCTACATAATTTTTAACGAGGAATTTGAAAAAAATTAAAAATTATTAAAAAAATAAGTAATTTGTTTTCAAATATAAGTTACTATATTTTGTTAATTTATTTATATAAGTAATTAAGCAAAAGCTGGCCATAGCAATTGCTAGTTACAGTATTTTTTAAATGTTTTTAATAGGATTGAGTAAAATATAGTAAATAGACTATAAGTTAAAATAAATATTTATTTAGGTTTTTTACCATTTTATTTAGTGAAAATACAATTCAAAAAATCCATACTTAATATAAAGTAAAATTGAACATATTATGGTAAGTAAATCCAGAACAATTTTTTTCTTTAATCTCTAAATAAGGGACAAAGAGTCTTTCATTGTTCCATTCATTTTAGTTTTTAACCCCATTGGTTCCAAATACGGTGCCACTGGTAGCTTAACTTCAAATTTATTCTTCTGGACATATTTTGAACTTACCTAATAATAAAACAACGCGTTGTTACAAGTTACACACACTATTTCAAACGTAAAACTACTCTGGTAAAGTCTGATTTATTAAAAAACAGATTTTTATTTATTTATTGGGAAGTGTGCAAATTACGTTAATCATAATTTAGCAAATAGTAGTATAAGAAGTTCTATGTTGAATAAAATATGCACAAATTATTTTACATTTTACAGCCACCGTAATATAAAAACTTTAGTTCTACCAAAGTACGGCAGAGCTGTTGTCATAACCCATTCGGCTAACAGCCGCTCTTATAAAAATCAATTTTATTTGTCAATAAATATTGTTCATAATATTTTAAAGTTGAATATATTATTTGTGTTGCTGTTTTGAGCTAAACTTTTTGCACCTTTATTTGTTTTTATGGGTCATTTAACCATGGAGCTTAGGTATATGCATTTAATTCAAATAATACTTTGTTGTTGGCCGCAAACGATTGAAGAAATTATTTACTTTTAACTATCAGAAATAGTCAAAGATGGTAACTAATCCTAAATTTGACAAACTTTGACTATTTACGTAGTATAAAATAACTATTTAAAAGCGAAAACGACTATTTTATTAGTAAAAAATGCTGGTACTAATTCAAATAGTAAAATGTTGACTATTTCATTTTTAGAGAGTATAAAATGCCATAAAACATTATTTATAAATTATATAATATAAATTATTATAAAATAGATTTTTTTCGGTGACCATAAGTACGTTAAAATATAGCTAGGTATATATTAGGGTGATTAAAAATTTTTTGTTTCGATATTTGGGTTATTTTCAAGAAACACCCGCTTTCAGGAAAATGAAGATCATTTTTTTTTTTGCTTAAATTGACTTTTGTTTGGATTTTTATAAATGTTTAGAGTTTTGTTTACTTACATTTAAGACAGGCAGTGCACTTTTTATTTTTTTTACTTTTTAAAAGAAACCATTCCGATTCTTTGTTAAAAAAAACAATACCATTAAAAAATTTCACTGTATTAGTGAGTTAAACTCTAATTTTTAAACACTTATTACCAAGTGATAGTGTATAACAATCATTTTAAGTATTTTTTTATAAAAAACTATAAAAGTAACGAAATAGACATTGGTATAACAACGGACTGGGGTACACAAAGGACTTAATCAGATAACGTAAAAAAGAAACTATATAGGGTGGTATAATTTTAGAGTAATGCATAAACAAAAACCCTTGTAGTGGTGCTCACTTGCAGAATAACAACTTAGATTTCTAAATTGTAGACACCCTTTTTCTTTGACTATAAGCTGGTGAAGGCCCTTTTAGTACTTGTGTATTGCGTGGAATTTTCCCTTGGATGTAATCTATATCATGAGTTGTAAACACAAATATTTTAAAATGGTTTATCATAAACTACTTTTAATAAAAGCGACGGTAAATATCCACTTTGTTGTCTATTGCGTTACCCTAAATTCCATTCCGTTACCATAAGGTAACATAATGGACTTGGTAACGCAGTGGAAAAAGTTTTGTGAAACCATATTTAAAAAAGAAAAAAAGACATTACAGTCTTTAATTACTGTCAATAAGCTTTAGTGCCCTAAAATAAACATAAACATGAAAAATAGTATTTTTTCTTACCTTATTTTTTTTTTGAGTAAATTAGCGGTCAAACAATTATTACATTCGCGTTACATCCACCTGATTTAACCGATATCTTCTTCCTGATTAAATAAATAAATTCAGCTGGGTAATGTGTACGTCCGAACATCATTTGTTGATCACGTGAGTGCCAAAAATGTTGCCATATATATGTCCTTTTTAATATTCTATCGGTAACGCGACGGACGTAACGCAACGGAAAAAATGTCTGGGACATGAGTCAAATTTAAAAAAAGTAGATTAAAATTAATTAATTTATAAATAAATTGTTTACTGTATTAACTAAGGATGTTATGGATTGCTATAAAGTAACACAAAGTTCTGGTTATTCAATATTAAAAAAAAACATGTATGTAAGTTTTATAAAACGCTAATGGGACATGTGTGTTTCACAAGTTTCAAAATTAAAAAAAAATTATTCTAAAATAATTAAACAAACATTTTCTGAAAGAGTTAACTTGGTTTTTAAATCAATAAGATCCGATAATTTTTAATAAAGTTATTGGAATTCAAACTTACGGACAGCGGAAGGCGGGTGTTTTTTGAAAACGACCCATTTATAGAATATTCGAATTCTTAAATAATATCAAAAATAAAAATAATAATTTGAGCTCAATCGGACAAGATTTATAGCTGATTTACCAAAATATCGCACATAATTCACAAATTCCCTTTATGACCAATGCATAATATAATAAAAAATATAATAGACGTTATCAACCTTCATATAGCAGTAATCCTGAAATCAAACATTTCCAAAAATTTTCTGGAATTTAAAGTACCTGAAAGTCTTCAAAATTATACATTTTGGATAAAGACTCCCATCATTACCTCTAATTACCTCTATTTCTGCAGTATGAATTTACAAAATACTTTTATTGTAATCACCCTAATATACATATACATTAAAATTTATAATTTTCGTGTTTTTTATTTATTGTTTGTTCAAGTTGGAATAATGTGACAATAGCTTGAATGCATGAAAAACGACACTTTTTAATAAAAAGTTTTCATAAATAATTTATTCAAGATTTTATATTTTAATAATAAATTCCTGATAGGTTTTGACATAATGTACTTTTTACGGGACTATACAAAACAAAACAAACATGCATTACATTTTTTAAAATGGATTTAAATTTTACTCATTATCTTTTTCAGGAGCTGGTATCGAGCAACACTACCCAGAGGAACTGGCGCGGCATTCTCATCGCGCTGCTCGTCATCGTAGTCGTCCTTGCACTAATAGTCACATCTGTGGTCCTTTTGACTCCGCCAGACGAAGGACCTCGGGTGAAAGGAGCCAGATTCAAGCTGACAGACATCCTTAGTCACGAGTTTCAGCCGCTGAGGTTTAATGGTACTTGGGTCTCAGGTTAGTAACACCGCGCGCACATTATTTTGATTTATTTTACGATGAAAGCATTGTGATTGCCCTAAGTCCTCCATTGTCGAGTTTTTTCGGGCAGACGAATTAGTCGTAAATATATTTCGGCTGGAAAGTGGCGTATTAAAGTCCCACTAAATAGCAATAAGACGGTGCTCAATTTTGAAAGCTGCTATTAAAGAAGTATTTTTCATCGTCTTTTGTTTTATGGGATTTAATATTAAATTGTATAATAATTAAAGACCCTCTATCCCAAACGACACAAGTCCAAAAACATAATTTATCAAAATATTCAAAAATTCAAAAATGTCTACTGGGTATCAGCAAGGTGAAGTGCTATTCGTGTCTGTCTCGATAAAGCACAATTGTCTGTTTCAGTTATGGCATTGTGCCTTTTGGCCGGGTCACATATATAATAAAAATACATAAATAAATGAGCTTTACGCATTCTTTTCCTAGATAGCTGTATCAAATTTATGTTTAATAATTTATTGAATTACCGGGTCCAAATCTTACACAGTAAAAAAATACTTGTTAATTTAACCAAATATTAACCACATTTTATGTTAATTTAGGTCTACATAACTGTAATGTAACTGTAATTTTCAAAAAGGACCGTTTTTTACAAACCTTGTTGTAGACACAAAGTACTTGTTGGAAATTGGGAAGTTAAATGAAAAGAATTTTTGGTAAAAAATGTTATATTAATGCTTTATTAATCAATTTCCTAACAAAAAAATTAACACATACCTACATAAATGAACAAAAAAATAACATACACACAATTAAATAACACACCATTCTGAAATCATCAAATTATAAAGAAATTTGGTACAATATAATTATCAGTACTACTACATCACTTACTGATGTATTTTGTAACTTTAACCCACTTCACTGTATCCCCAAATTTAAGTTTAAAAACCAGCGTCTTTTTTCGGATCCTTCGCACTTTGCATAAAATATTATGAGCAATCTGGACTAGGGTTGGGACAGTTGAAATTTTCAAATGAAAATTTCAACTTTGAAAGTTTCAAACTTGAAATATTTCATTTAGTTGGAAAAGTGAAATTTTTAAAAATTTCAAATGAAATTTTCAGTTCGAAAATTTCAACATTGCCTGTGAAACTTTCAGAAATTTCATTGACAGTTTCGCAATTTACTGAAAATTTTGCATAAATTTCACATGCGGCCTCCCCTGGGACCTTTAATAATAATTTACAACAGATTCCGAATCGACCAATAAGAACGAGTTATCAAGCGTCTGGGCGTTTTTGTTTAGTTAGGCTTGGATTTGAATACACTATAAGTAATTATTGTTACTTATATGCATAAATTAATTTAAATAATTTAATTCAGTTACCAATTTAATTTGTAAATTAAATCAGAATTTAAACTTTTACTTTTGCTATAATTGCATCGGAAAACGGATAAAAAATGCCTTTGGTTTCTTCAATTTTTATAAAATTTTAGTAAAATATATAAAAATAATAAATATATATATATATATAAATATAAAACAATGAAAGTGGCACAATCTTATTAGCTTACCAAAAAGTGCCATATCCCTCTGAGTTTTAGTAATTTTAAAAATATTTTAAAAGGAAATCTCAAGAAATTTGTGGTAAACATAGGTATTTACTATTTATATTATTGGTGCAGGGGCCCACAGAGGGGTAGGAGGTAAGAGAGGCAATTTGTCATGGTCACCGAGTGGGCTTATTTCAATATTGATATATTACACTTAAAGTGATTAAAATTTATTGAAAGTTCCAATAAATTTCATAAATTTCATGAAATTTCAGACATTCAGGAAATTTTAATAAATTTCATAAATGTCGTGTACAAGCAAAAAGTGAAATTTTCCCAACTCTAATCTGGACAGTTGTTAAAAATGTTGGACCCCATGAAACATTTTAAAAAATCGTAGTATTCGACAAATGTTGAGAAAAAGACGATTTTCACTGTGATTTGGACCAATAAATAAAATCTAAAACCTGTCAGACAGCTCTTACCTCACTTCCTCCCAATTGAATTATTTCTCAGTTGTTTTTAATGAAAATTATTTAATAGGAGAAAAAGTACCTATAGTATTACACTAGAGATGATGCGCATTATCTACTCGGATGATTTACCTCATCCCCTGCATTATCTCTCGTATAAGAATAAACTTTTAATGAACAGTGCCCATTTCATTTTTTAACTTTAACCTGTCGGCGAAATTCTACTTCGCCCATGGGCTGAAGTTAGCTTTGTTAATATTAGAAAAGATTGGGGTTAAAACCAGTGGCGTAGCTAGCCTCGAGGGGGCCCCGTATCATATATCTGGTAGGGGCCCTTATACGAGAAAAGCTGCTGGCAAAAAAAATTCTGGGTCTCAGGCCCAAAGTCTATTTTGGGCAAACAAAATAGCTATTTGTTTTACAAGTATTGAACAGCGTCATTTTCATGCGAGTTTTTAAGTTGCTCACGAAGCCGTCAGGCCGATTGTGCATTAACACGACCTTGAAGAGAGCTTTTCTCACAAGTAAAACACATTGTTTATATATATATATATATATATATATATATATATATTTATATCATGTAATGGCTTGCTTTGAAATTTTAATGAAAAGCTATGAGTATGGCACATTGAATTTAGCTGCCTGCTTAGTGGACATTAATTTAAATAATAATTAAAAAATATTAAAATAGTTTATTTTAAAGTTTTAAATACCCAGGATTCTGAATAATTTTACCTTCAAACAAGTCGACAAAACTCATACATTATAGATTTATATATTTATAGGTACTACATTATAATTAATTTAACCTATATTTAGAAGCAGGTGACCTTTATTAAAATTGCCTATTGATTTTACTTGGTAATCATTCACCCATTTGACATGTTGTCATAAACTCGCACATGGAGACAGTAACAGTAACGTTGATGCACAGAACAGTAATTCAGTCAATTTACATTTACTATTCGATATCATATAATTTTTAATAAAACATCACGGATTACTATGACAACATGTTGTTAAAATCAATAGTAGTAACTTTTGTCACATCAATGAGTACTGCCAGAAACTATAGGGACAAATATTCTACACAATTAATATGATTTAAATTGACTTTGCACAAATAATAATAATAATAATAATAATACTTTATTTTAAAAATAATTCCACAAATACAGATTATTAATAAAAATAGTCTCACAAAAAACTATAAATACACAGGAAATCAGGGAATTTCCTGTAGGTATTCGAAAATATTATATGGTTCCAAACTAATTAAGAAATCACAGACCTTGCATTTAAAAATTTTAACTGAATTTATCACAGATTTTATTTCATTTGGCAGATAGTTGTAGCATTTAATACACATTTATAGAGCATCTTTTTCAGATGTTGTTAGTATGTGTAAAAACATAATCCAAAGTACGAGTAAAATTTACCCTCTTTTTAAATCTATCAAAAAGCCTAGGATTTTTACAAAAAAACATTGATATATGTAAACACCAATACTGCCCAACTATGGAGAAAGGCAGTAACTGCTAAACAAGAAATCTGTGGAAAATTGGCATAAACTAAATTTTTATAAAAAGCAGTAGATATTTAATTGATTTAATTAATTTGTAAGATAGTTTACTGCATTTCTTAGTTGAATTAAGATACAAAATGTCCATAGCTTTATCATAGCACAAGAAAACGCATCAAGAATTTTTTTGTAGTTACTGCCTTTCTCCATAGTAGGGAAGAATAACAGTTCTTAACAATTCTTAATTGACAGTTCTACTAGACAAACCCAACATTAATCTTAATTTTTTTTTTGAATCACAAAAACCTGACCCACCTCAGAGCTACTTTCCCAGAAAATAATTCCATAGCTTAAAATGGAGTTAAAGTTTGAGGAATATAACATTTTTAAAATTTCTAAATTGACATAATTTCGCAAGACTAAAACTAAACACTACTTTATTTAATTTATCACATGTATATTGGATGTGTTTATCCCATTTCAAAAATTAATTTATATATATTCCCAAGAATTTAACATCATGTTTAAAAGGTACATTTTCATTATTTATCACAGATGTAGGTATCAGGTACAACAATATTTGATCTGTTAGTTCTAAACAGCATAAAATTTGACTTATCAGTATTCAAAATCAGTTTATTTTTATTAAACCATTGCATAACTCTGTCCAATACTACACTGCTATCTTGAATAATACATTTAAAAGTACCATTATCTATAATAATATTACTATCATCTGCATAATTTCCATAAGGGAATCCCTTAAGTCATTAATATATATAATAAATAACAGAGGGCCTAAAATGCTTCCCTGTGGTATTCCTGTATAAAAATACCTACAAGTTGAGGAAAACACTTGTCCATCCTTTTCCACCACAACTTTTTGACTTCTTCCTGAGAGATATGATCTTATCCACTGCAATGGGATCCCTCTAACGCCATTAATTTCCAGCTTGTTTATTAAAATTTCATAATTCAATGTGTCATAGGCTTTTGAGAGGTCCAAAAACATACCAAGTGATAAAAATTTGTTTTCATAATTAATAATTAATAATTATTGACTATTTTTTGTAGAAAATCAAAAACTGCAGTTTAGTAGATTTATAAATAGATAGATAAATAGCTTCATTAACATTTTTAATTCAAAGTCATTTAACTTAAAACTTTAAAATATCTCAGTTAGTATGTATTTTACGAAAAAATGATTAATATAAAAATTAAATGATTCGTTGGGGGAAATCAATCAGTACTAATATTGGTCCTCATATTCTCTTCCTTAAGGATGGTTTACACGCTCATGCAATTTGCGCCAATTGATTTGTGCAAGCCAATTTGCGCAATAGAACTGAGTTGGAGGATTCGGTCTACACGTTCAATTAATTTCAGTCAGTGCATATGAAGTGTTGGTTTTTCACAGAATAAAAATAATAAAGAAAATACACTTTCCACAAACAAGGAAATGATTTATATAATTCTATATTTTCACGTTCTTTGTTTGCGCAAACTTCATGCTTCCATTCACATACAACGATTTACTTGTGCAAATTGGCTTGCACAAATCAATTGGCGCAAATTGCATGAGCGTGTAAACCAACCATTATAGGGGGAACAGGGGGTAACTTTAAAATTATCAATGGAACACTCTACTTTTTATTGCAGATTCGGATCATTCGACTAAAAATAGGTAGATTTTGTCTAAAACATTTTTTCATATTTGTAATATATGACGCTGTAATGAAAAAAAATCAATTTTGTTCTACTTTTCTTCTTATACGATTCTGCAATAATTTTTTAATAAAAATATCACTTTTTTGGTAATAATTACCTTATTAAATTAAGTAACCACGATATTTTAATATTTAAGTTTCCTTTGATTTAAGTTTTATATATTAATTTATTCGGTGATAATTATCAATTGCGCACCATGGTCACTTTTTACCTGCCAGTATTAAATCATTTAACTTAAAGGATTATTGTACTATTTTTAATAAAAATACCTCAGGGTAAAAAAACATTATTTTGTCAATTAATTAATTTAATCCTAATTGGGGTATAAAAAATGGTATTTAGTAAAAAATAAATAATTATTATTAAGGTATAAAGAATTTATTTATACATAGTTTAGCATTATTTAATCAATTTAGTTCGAAGATTAATTTGCAAACAAAAAGACCTCCTTTCGTTAAGCAGTTATTCATAATAGATTTTTTAACACTGGAAGAAAAATGCAGGCAGGAATCTTGATTATGCTGTTAATATCTACGCTCAGCTTTTTCCGGAAAAAATTCGATCACGTAGTTTACTACAAACGGGAGTGTTCAACCGAAAAAAAAAGTTCGTTGAGCAAATATTTAATAATGTTATTTTGAGCACCTACTTTAATAAAATTTTAAAAATAAAACCAAGTATTTTATTCAAAAAATATTGGAGAATCGTATATATACAATTTTGTTCAATTTTTCTTCTGGGAGTGTTCAACCGAAAAAAAAAGTTCGTTGAGCAAATATTTAATAATGTTATTTTGAGCACCTACTTTAATAAAATTTTAAAAATAAAACCAAGTATTTTATTCAAAAAATATTGGAGAATCGTATATATACAATTTTGTTCAATTTTTCTTCTGTATATATACAGAAGAAAAATCGAACAAAATTGATTTTTTTTTATTACAGCGCCATCTATTACAAATATCAAAAAATGTTTTAAACAAAATCTACCTATTTTTAGTCGAATGATCCAAATCTGCAATAAAAATAGGGTGTTCCATTGGAAATTTTAATATATATATATATATAAGGAGGAGAGTATGAGGACCAATTTTAGTACTGATTAATTTTCCCCCTCGAATCATTAAATTTTTATTCAAAACATTTTTTCTTAAAATGCATACTAATTGAGATATATCAGTTTCAAATGACTCACCCTATATAATGTACAATAATATAATATAAAAATATATTTACATTTGATAAAACTTACGTAAGGTACAAATTAAATTACGATTAAAAATATCAATTCAAGCACAATTGAATGGGCAAGTGAATAAAGGGGTTAATATTAAAGGGCAAAAATAATTGTAATTGCAATACCAAATTTATTTTGTTTATATCTAAAAAAATTTTGTTTGGGGGTGTCATGTAACATTTAAATTAAAAAGGACCGAACAATATAGTGATTGTTAATTGAAATAAATTTGACATTGCAATTACAATATTCTTTGTCCTTTATTATTAAAAATGTTACTAAGCCCCATCATCCGCTTGCTCCGTTAATTTAATTTCAATTCATTCAATATGATTATACATATATATACATATATATATATATATATATATATATATATATATATATATATATATATATATATATATATATATATATTTATATATATATATATAATAAAATTCATTTAGAGTACATTTAAATTGCTTACAAAAAAATTGTATTTTTATATTTCTTTTCGAAGCTTATTAAAAAAATTATTGCTATGAATCTAGGACCTTTCTCATAGAAAGTAATGGTGTGTGCAGGGATTGAATAATGTTCTTTCTATTTCGTTTCAGTGCTTATATTATAGGATACGCTTTTTTTCTAAATAATCTTAATTTTGTAAGTTGAAAAATCTTATATTGTATATAACGAATCAATTTCTTATGGATGGCTACAACCAGATATTTTTCCCACAACTTTCTTTGTATTTTAAATATTTTTTCACAGTTTGGGGATGCACCCCATATTATTAAACCATAATGGATTTTGGATTGAATGCACGCATAATAGTAAGATATAATATATTTTTTGTTTCTGATGTTTACAGCGACTTATTATTTAAACTAATTAAAGAACTTACCCTAAAAAAGTTTATTAAAACTGTTTTTTTTCTGGATTTGGTATAGGGTTATCTTTTTTAGAAATTTAGTTCATTTTATTAATTATCATTTTGACGTTATTCCGATTTGTAACTTTTGGTCAACGTAAATTTACAAAATTGTTTTACGCCAATTGGCTTAATAACTATTATTCACTGTGAAATACGCATTAATCTGGTGATAATCTAAACTTAATTGGCTATAAAGTTTTGTAGTTTTTAGTCATTAATTTATTAATCATTTAATCATTTACGTTGGGATAGACTTTTTTATAAATGTATATATTTAATGGCAGAATAATATTATACAAGTTTAATATTATTACATGCTATGTATTTTATTTTTTTGTTAGTAAGCGTCAATGAAATAATAATAAGGTGAATTATATTACTTTGTATTATAAAATTTTATAATGTTTATTAAAAATAATCTTAAAACAAAGTTTTGACATTATTTTAGTCGAAATGTATTTTTTGGTAATTTTTGGAGACACAGGAAATTAGTTATCAAATTGGTAATGCTGTGCATATAATAAGCAGAATTTTAAGGAAATTAGTCGAGCTTTGCAGATTTATTAATTAATTTAAATAAATACGTTGTTAAAACTTGAAAGACTGTCATTAGGTAAAAATCTTGTCAAGTAATAAAATAAGTTTTACTTTTCCGCACGCCTACTTTGCGTCCGCAAATGCTTTAATACACGATTAAGATTATAAAATTATAAAGCCTTTAATAATATTTTTAATTAAAAACAAAAAATATTGATAAAATAATTCAATGTAATAATATAAGTAGAAACTTTCCGCACGCTTGTGGAAAAAAAGTTAAAATTTAAAATTTAAAAATAATAAATTGCGAGATTTCGTTGCTTGTGGAAAAAATGTGGTTCATAAAATATGCGCAAAATAATTTTTTCGCACTTACTGCTTGCATTTCAGTAGCCTGCGAAAAAACTAAACTGCAAAGGCACTATTTTATTATATAATGTTTTACTTTCTATAATAACCATGGTTATGCATAAACTTTTTAACTCTAAAATATTTAAAAAAATGTTTTTTAAATGACAGTATGGATACAGAGCAAATATTAAATTAGATACTGCCATAATTAAAATATTAAACAAAATTTGAAAAGCTCACGATAAACATCTTGATATTGAAATGGCTGGTTGTGATGTAAGCAAAGCGTTTGACATTGTTAGTCACGAATTATTTAAATCAAATCTCACAAGTAGATTCCAAATTGTAAAATGGAAAAATAAATATTCCAAAGAAGATTTAGTTCACCATGGAGTAACCCAAGGGTCAATATTAGGCCCTATCCTTTTCATTATTTACATTAATAATTTAAAAGCAAACGTTCCACACTGTGATATGTGCCTTAAGGCATAAATTTATGCCGATGATACTTTTGTATAGTGAAAAAACTAACTGTAAAGTACCAATCGTTAAAGAGTGAATAAGGGCCAACAAACTATCATTAAATGTTGAAAAGACTCAATATACGCAATTTTTAGACATTTTTGGAACTATTTATCGATAATAGGTTAAAATGGGATATTCATACTGAACAATTGATTAAAAAACTAAACAATGCAATGTACTGCGTTCAAAAACTAATACAAAATGCTAACAAAAACACAGCAAGAACAGCATATTTCGCAAATTTTCATAGCAAGGTTAGCATTGGCATCCTTTTTTGGGGTTTATTTTGTATCTGAAAATGTATTTTTATTACGAGTATTATGTTCTATTAATCAGACAGAATAGTATATTCTGTAACAAGTTTGTAATACTTCGAGTGAAGAGTTTGTCACACAAGCCGAAGGCGAGTTTGACGGTTTCACGAGAGCGGAATATGCAATTCCAAACGTGTTTCAAACTATACTTTTTCTACGTTTCCAAAAAATACTATAGAAAAATAATTTAATTGGAAAAAAGTGAGGTTGGATCAGTCTAAAATTTGTTAGATATTAAAAACAGAGATGTCGCCACTAGTGTTTATTCTGTCATCCGATGATAGAATATTTCATTCTGTAACACTTTACGGAATATATGTCATTCCATAGATAAAAGTGATATTAGAACGGTCAAATTCCGTTATGGGAGTAGAAAAAAGATTTTAACTCTTTATGCAATATACATCCTATCATGTTCCAAGTTTGTATATTCTAATTTAAGAATCTTTAGCAAAAATTGTGCTTCACGTGATTGTAATATCAGATGAATTTAAAACAGCCTTGCACAAATCCAAATTTATCCAGCAAGGTATTGATTATTTGAATCCAAAAATCTTTAATCAAGTACCGAAAAGTCTCCAGGAACAGCCCTCAAAGAAAAAAATTACTCAGCAGCTTAAATCTTTTTTGTTATTAAATCCTTTTTATAACCTAGAAGAGTTTTTCAATTATAAATTTTAAGATTTGTTTCGGTAAAGTATTTGATTATAAAATTAAGATTAGTTTTATTTAACTGTTTAATCTGTATTATACTTTTTATATTTGAATTTAATCTTTTGAATTTAATCTTTGCTCACCTGTTTTTGTTATACTTTTTATTTATGTTTAATCTTTTAATATACCTTTTAATATTTTTAAATGCGTTATTTTACGTTTAATGTAATTTTTTTTACTCTAATCTATAATGTAATATATTTTTCCGTTAACTGCAAAAATAACTTAAATTTACTAAAATAGGTTAAAAATATAAAATACTTTAACTTAAAATGTTTACATTATACGATAAATTGTTGAGATGTACAGATCTGTCGAAATTACGTAAACCACCAAACTTTAATAGTGCCTATAAATGCATATTTTGCCGTTTTATAATGCAAGAAAACGTTCAAGAGAGCGGATAATTTGTTAATATTCATTTGATTAAATTTATTTTTTACTAAAACTTTAGTTTTCAAGGGAATTTATGTTATGTTTAAATTATAACGACATGCTGCGGCATAAAAATATTTTCAAGCACTTAACGTTTTTTTGTGCATATTTTTATCTTTTAGCATATTTAAGCATATATTGTGCATAATTAATGATTTTAATTGTGCCTTATATGATGTATATTTTGATGGTTTTCAGTGCATAATTTTCACAGCCTTGTTTAAAAATATATCGTTTTTGAATAAACCGATGACACTCCGGAATATTTCCGAATATAAGCGTGACATACTTTGGTAAACACAAATCCATTCCAGTGGTATTTAAAATGGTTTCGGTTTGCCACACCTTTAAATTCCAATTTTTATTGTAAATTTTCCACAAAATTGGACACATTTATATGCAGCTAGTTTGGCTTGGTATGTCATTAAGATTTATTATCTCAAGACTGCAACGGAAGATCCGTAAAACTAACACAGTGAGGTTTTCTCAGCTTTTGTTGGCTTTCAAAATAAATTATCCCTGTTAAATAAAGAAGAATCGCGCCAGAAGGAAGCGATAAGAACATCAAACTGTTTGCGTTACTCGAACTTGACTGATTGCAGTGCCTTCGATGAGTTCCTGGTTAGAATCAGAATCTTGGTTAGTCAATAATACTTAATTATATACTGCTTCGTATTGATCGACTAAAATAAATAATCAAATCTTTATCTCGAATCGAGTTTGGAACAAGAACGCATTTCGTTTGAAATTAAACAGTGCTGCCGCGCTTGTGGGGTCAAAATTTTTTTAATTATGTTTTTGTAATAATAAAATTAGTATTAATAAAGAAAAATTTCGCCCAGTGCTATGTACAATTTGTAAAAAATACCTAAACAAAAAGCAAATCCCTCTGCTCTTTAATGATTTAAATTTAAATATCAAAATAAGTTTAAATTGTGCATCTTACTAAGGAAAAGTGTATTCTTTTTATTGTTTTTATATATATATATATATATACTAGTTTAAAGCATTATAGCCATCTTACCTTACTTTTTGTATTTTTATTTCAGATGACGAGCTTATTTTTAAGGATCAATGGGGAGGAATCAGTATACTGCTTGCGTCTAATCTATCCGTCAGAACTTTAATGTCAAACCAAACTTATGTAAGTAAAGTTTTAATGATACATTTCACACTATTAACATACTGAATTCAGGTTAAGTTAGAAAGTTTGTTTGATTCCGAATTTTTAGTATACGCGTTAACAAAGGAGTATAATAAATAATAATAATAATAAATTCTTTATTTGCCTAACAGATAACCATTTACAGGATAAAATACATATTGTAACGAACGGGGCATGGGGGGCACACATTAATAATTAAAAAGAATATTAAAACCACAAAAAAAACTACCTTTGGCCAAAACACGTGATCGTCTAGTTTAAAGAAATTAAGTTAGGACCCCTTTTTGTTGTGAATACGGTTCTGGATACGTAAGTACTTGAGCAATTGAAAAGATATTTAAAAAGCAAAGAAAAAGTATTAAATTAAAATAAGTTTATTAATAAAGACAATTAATACAAGAGTTAATTATTGTTACTGTACATTAATAATATAAATAAAAACATTTGTATTTGAAAAGTATGATTGATTTAAGTTAATAAGGTAAAACCTTAAAAACCCACATATACAATACAGACATGCATATATGTCGCACATCTCAACAATATAAATAATACAACAAAATCAAAGTAATCAATATGAATATAATAAATTATATTATCATATTGCTAAGATTATTCACCTACATAAATAATAGGCTCGGACGATGTAGAAAAGTAAATACACATTGAAACAATTATCAATGTACAGCAGCAAACAACAATAATGTGAAACAAAGTATAATATAACTTAGGTCACAAGCAACAATAATAAATGGTATTTGTATAAATAAAATATATGAATAACAAGTGGTGTAGTGGTGGACAAGAGTTATGCAATAAAATTGTACAGCCATAAATAACAAATAAAATCAGGTATGATAAAGTAATAAAATTATGTCATCGCAAATCAAATATAGCAAAATAAAATGATTATCAATAATAATAGAATAAGACCATAAAACAACAACTTCATATCAATATCCCTATCTAACCATTCTTTGTCTAAATTGGTTACCTGGCATTATTGGCCATTGGGTGCGCCTGTCAAAGCAGAGCTGTATCCACCATCCTATTACCAGCAACCGGCAACAAAGTTCCCTAACTAAATAACTCATTTGATATGCAGAACTTGAAACAAGTCTCACCATATTAAATAATGAATATCAATTTATCAAATAAATAAAATAAGATAAACTGTACAAAATCAAGTATGTAAATGTTAAATATAAATATGTAGTAAAATGTAAAATTACATTACAATATAATATGTTAAAGTAAATGTAATATAAATATAATAATTATAAACATAAAATAATGATTATAATTTGGTTTGTCCATCAAAAACCTTTAAGATAACATAATTCAACTTATTATTTCTCTCACCAACAACAAGTTGAAATAATAATAATAAAATATAGTTTAAATTAAATATTAAATAATTAACCACTCATTATGATATTTGTGACCTCAGATTATAATAACTAAATATAGAGAAGACATACCTATTTAAATAAACAACACTTTCACAAACTGAATTTATATAAAAAAAACGATGTAATATTTGTTAAATTCACTCCCTGATAAAGTTAAAGAATTTAATAGTAAAACGTCACTCTCCCTTCAAAATGCAAAACCAACTCTTTACAAAATTAAAGAATTAAACCAATCCCTTTCAAATAGCAAACCGTAACTGCCTAAAATATACTACCTATCTCCGTTTCTAACACGCTCTTTTTATGTTTATTTTTTAAAGACCAGCAACATGAACCAAAACTTGCTTATTTCGTCTTTCTGTAACGAACCCTTAAGTGGTCGTCCAGATGGGAGTCATAAATTAATATTGTATAATAAACAAATAAAGAATGTATGGAAGTGAAACTTATACCTAACACCTAATACAATTTTAAAAATAAATATTTAAAATTAGTCTCATATTTCGTAAAGCTTAAAAATAATAAATTAGGAAATGTTAAAAATTAACTGCCCCGTATATCGTACCATTACAATATAAATACATTAGTATAAACAAAATAAACTATTCTTCACTTAAATACCATTTACAATAATCAATTAGTTCATTAAGACTACAAAGATTAATATCACAAACGCTAGAGATCTTGTTAAAGTTATTTGACATAACTTGGACAGGAGATTTTAGATGCACATTAGTCCTGGAATGAGTATGCTTGCATGTAAAAGTGCAGCGAGAACTAATTCTAGAAACATGAAGTTGAAATAATGAAAGTAACTCTAATGCATCTACTTTATTATTCAGCAATTTGTAAAGTAGCCCAAGCAGCATTTTAAGTAAAAGCGTAGAGCTTTGAGGCAATATTACTTAATTTAAGTAAATATTTTGTTAAATTAACCTTCAAAATTTACTTTGAAGTAAAACTTTTTTTAAAGTTATAATATAAGTTTTATTTATGTTATTTTTACCTATTTTAATAACCCTTAAGTTTCAACACTTTAAAGTATTATGAGGGACGTAATTTTTACGAAAGAAAATTACTTATAAGTGTATTTTACCTAAAGGAAAATGTAACGGTAATTTTAACGTCAGAATTTTTACTTAATTGTAAATGTTACTCATAAGTCATAATTTTACGATATTAAGACCACTTTATAACCGTAAATAATTCCTATTCGCCTGGTATTTTTTAGGGTTATTAGTGGGTAATAAATACTAATAATATTGACATTTATATAATATTTTTTCATGAATTCATTATATTCATTATATTCAATTTGTAACGAACGGGGCATGGGGGGCACTCATTAATAATTAAAAAGAATATTAAAACCACAAAAAAACTACCTTTGGCCAAAACACGTGATCGTCTAGTTTAAAGAAATTAAGTTAGGACCCTTTTTGTTGTGAATACGGTTCTGGATACGTAAGTACTTGAGCAATTGAAAAGATATTTAAAAAGCAAAGAAAAAGTATTAAATTAAAATAAGATATTCATATCTTTCTAAAATATAATAAGAAAAGTTTTAGTTATTAAAACTAAATGATTTTTAAAAGATTTTATAAAATTTTGTAGGTTTTAAGTTTTGTTGAATTTTTACCCAAGCAATAATTTTTCTTAAAACAGTAAAATATTTAGAGGGCATATAATTTTTAAGACGTATCATACCTATTTTTATCAATAAAATAATGTGCGTTTGAGTTTTAATGCAAAATATCAATGGTTTTCACAATTTAAGTTATATTTTTTAATTTTACTCTAGGGTGGCCTTTATTACTTTGTAATTACTTAAGTACCTACCATTTTGTAAAATATAAATTAAAAGAACAAAGAAATTACGAATATCAATGTTTAAGAAAGAGAGAGCAAACAGTTAGTAATTATAGCGTTATTTTTACGTAAATTTGTGGTATTTATATTGTTTTTATTACGTAATTCTCTTAGTAGATCAAAAAGGTTATTATGTGGGTAAAATAACGAAATAAACCATTCCCCAAATTTGGTAATTTTTCGTATCTATACCGTTATAAAACCGTTTTGGTTAACCGTAAAAAATACTTTAAAGTTGACTTAGTAGTAAATTTGTAGTTATTTAAACTTAAAATGCTGCTTGGGAGAATTGAGGAGCATCCGTGCAAAACCGGCTATATACACTTTAATAAAATGTTGGGAAAATGGCAAAAACTCTTGGTTTCCTGGCCTTTACAGATAACAAAAAAAGCAAATTTGAGTTTTGTGGGCTTTATGGTACTTGATTTATAAGACATACTTTCATTTTCAAAAACTTTATATTAAGGCCAAAATTTCAAAAAATGTTTTTTTTATAGCCGGTTTTGCTCAAAAACCTACGAATAAAATGTGAAAAAAACCTTTATTATTCAAAAATATTAACAAAAAAAATTTAGTGAAAACATGAAAAAACAGAACAAATTTTAGTATCGACATATCGAAGCCACATGCTCATCATTATTATTTATTGGATATAGCCGGGTTTGTTATAAAAACGTGGATTTGGCCTGTTTTGCTCCTAAAGCTACCTTTTTAATGTGATTTTAAAATGGATATAGTCGGATTTAAACCGAATTATCTTGGTTGGCGACCCAAAGATGCGAAATCAAAAAAAAAACAAAAATTGAATAAAATGGATTTAGCCAGTTTTGCACGGATGCTCCTCAATTAGGCTTGAAACAAATCTTATGTCTGACAATGATTGTATGTTAAATTTTCCAACAATAAACGATTGTCAATACCCCTTTCTGGATAACGGTTTTTTAATTTTAAGTACAGATATTTTAAAAATCGTATTTGAACTGACTAATATTCCAGTTTGGATCTAACTAATGAAAGAAATAGACATTTAATTGTTTGGATATTTAAAAAAGATTTACAGTTACTTATAATAAAACCTAATGTACAAGTTTAGTATCGAAGGTTACACCTTTAGAGTCACATCTTAACAGTAAATCCTCGTCTAACTTATAATCATAAACAATTTTTTAAGAATTGAGTGTAAAAGAACATATTTTGCATTTAAA